TATTCTATGGTCATCTTTCACAATTCAGAAGAAATATGTTCTATAGTCATCCCCGTGTAAAAGACGAACAGTGTTCTATGGTCATTCCCACCCTACGCACTTCAGGATAAATAAACTCAGTCCACAATGTAATTGCCCAGTTTATCATCAACATCTGATTAAGCCACTGTGTTGGCGAAACGATATTGTCATGTTTTGAATTAATTATAGTGAAAATCGAAAAACTACTTAGTTTTATTAAAATTATGTATATAGATTTTCATCAAGTATCGGCCCAATCGATTAATTATTTAGATTGAGTTCTTTGTAATATTTCACTTAATTCTATCGTTTGGTTATTAGTTACTTCTTCATTTTTTTTGGATTAGATTGAGCTCTTCGTTAAATTTCTTCTCATTTTATTTATGATTTTGTGTAATTGGGCATTATACCATAAAAATTATATTATATTATACTAACAATAATACAAGAACTTATTTATATGATTATTATTACAAAATGTTCGGTATATATCGATTTCAATCTCTTATTTTCATAACCAGGTTGAGAGTCTCTTGCAGCTTTTCATGCATAGAGACCTTTGGGCCGGATTCAATTAACTGTGATAATGTGAATTCAGTGCTGGTGTAATTACACATAAGCCAAATAGACGTCTGAACTGGACAGAGACGTCAATTATCCTCTTGGGTTTGTTCGCCAATACTACCCCGCCCGGCTTGCAAATTCTACAGGACGAGTATCGAACCACCCCGTTTGCCACGTCGATTTCTGTCGTCATGCTTGGGATGAACGAGTGATCGCTTCGCGGCACTAATTGGTCCTCATCAGGAAAACATGGCCGAAATGCGGTAACCTAATGAATGTTAGAGATCTATTCGTTTCTATAGTTAGTAGCTAACGTTACGATGAATAGTTTGCAACCGGAAGATGTATTTGTGTTGGTGAGTTCGAATGCAGAAAGGAATTTTGGGGTTGCTTAATGACCATTGATAAATTTGCCAGTGAATGAAGCTACTACAGAGTAGCAGGAGTGTTATTCAGATTAGGTTCTGGAATTCTCCATTAACGATTTGGAGTATTCAATTTTGTTATTGGAGGAGTGACAATTGAGATCATAGTGGGACGTTGTCTAATTTTGTTTTGCTAAACAAACCATTTGGGTTGGTTTGTTTTTATTTCACAAAATAACCTGATTCTGAGAATTTATATTCCAGTTTATGATGATTTCAACGCAACGAAATGAAAAATATCAAGATGAGTATAAACAATATTGTTCTCGAAATAATTCTTGTGTTGAAGTCAGTGTTGTTTTGTTGGATGGACTCTCGATGTTCTTCTTTGTTTTTTTGTTTCTAGTTCTTCTACTTCAAACATCTTTGTTTGTCCTAGTTTATTTCATGTGAAAACTTCAGTGAATTCACATTGTAACAGAGTTTTATACATCAATGAGTCTTCGGAATCATTTTGTTCGTTTTTGTAATAAATGCATACGCAAAACAAATTCGTTTCTGATTGTCCCGAAATTTCGGAATTTTAAATTTGTCATTATACGAGTTTAGAAATTCATTCAATTTACGAGTTTAATTGACTTGAAACAAGTTATTCTCATTCTTCGGATATATATTTTGGAACGTATTCAAACTACGTATAATCCTCAAGTGAATTTCGTTTTTCATAGCCTGTTTTCTTTATTTTTTTGGAGAAAGTAAGGAAGAAACATGATACCTCATACATTGTATGAAAACTAACTGTTTCAAAATATAAAATGAAGTAAGAGTAATATTTCATTGCTCAAAAAATTGATCCGACTTCATAAAAATTATTGAAATCAACTCTGCAACAAAATGCTATAATCCTTCGTGGCCACCGTTGAATTAACGACTTGGAGTTGAGGTATAGAAATTTTGAGTCAATATCACGAATATATAGATTATTACCTTTTCTAACAAGTCCTATGAAACTCATGATGATGATTCATTTTTCCAATATATTAGTCGAGTATATTGAGCAATTTTTGTTTAATGCTGCTCATTATTCATATTACGCTTTTCATGATTAGCATAATTTTGTAAAAGATTCAATACTTCCTATCGTATGATTCTGAATAAACTCGAATATCGGAACGTTTTTGGTAATAGCAAGCTCATGAGGGGTCGAGTTACTCTGTGGTTAATATAATACTGAATATTAACGTGATATCCTTTGTTATTATGAAGATATGATCGCTCATGGCTAGCTTAGCTAGTAAGTCTTATCTTAATTTTATAGAATTAAATTATATTTTAAATTAAAATTGTTTGAGTGATAACGTTTCATATCTACTCATAATTATATTGTATATATATATATATATATATATATATATATATATATATATATATATATATATATATATATATATATATATATATATATATATATATATGGAAGCAATGGCTTTCGTTTGTTGGAAACGCAACTAAAGAGTATCTTGCACTACGAAGAAAACGGATGAAAAAACAATTGAGATAATACATTCTACAACACGAGTTGATGAAGAATTTCATTTTATTTAATTTTTTGCAATTTGCCATAATAGAAGTGTTCGTTTTCAATCTTTTGGAAGGTTTGTTTGACGCAACAGAACAGTGCCTTGTAGCAAGAAACTGTTACTGTCTTGCATTTCCAATAAATGCAGGCAACGATTTCCGTATTCCCTAAGATTTATCTCTTGAAGGATAATGGAGCCATCGCATTGTTGATATTTCACATATCCAGATTTGCTATAATATTGTCTTGAATAATTTTCCATATTCTCGAATGTAAGTTATATTATACGTTCAGTATTGAATATTCAAAAATTCAATGATGTAGGAATAATAATTATAGAATTCATTTCGTCATAGTAGATTTCTTCATGTTGTAGTAGCTCTTATGATATAAAAGATGGGAGATTGATGAAATATTCATTCAGATTATTCAGAAGTATCGTAATATATTGGGAAAGGAGTATACGCCGATACGTTTATACAAAATGAATAAAAGTATATTTTATTTCATAACCCAAGGGCAATACAAGATTCAAGTCTCATTCCTCAAGTAATTTCAATTTTTGTTACAGATGGAATCTTAATGCTTCACAACATTTTCACTGGTAAGTTTGTCATAATCATTTTTCCGATGATATTAAAGTCATATCCATAGAATTTTTCATAAAATCTAGACCATTATTGAAGAATAACTGAATGTTATATCAAAATTAGCATTTCTGCTGCTCTTATATTATAGTTTGTAACTCGAACAATTTTGTGGTTCTGTTGTGAATTCAAAGATTTATTGCTCGTTTCTTCGCATTTGATATAAATATGTGATATTCTACCTGTAGTTTTTCATAATTATTTACACGATTATATTTTTCAATGTAAACGTCGATTAGAAGTATTCAACTTCTTTGTTCTGCAGTATGGGAAAACCACAAAGAAGAGAAATGTTTCGTTGTATATGTTTGAAAACAATGAATCGAAACTAACACACTTGACTTAATTTCTCTTTAATTTCAATTTATTGTTTTCAACATAATGTTTCATCAAGATATAAGGAAAACCTCCGTGTCATTTATATGTTTGAATTGGCGACATCTTATACAACGTCGTTACTGTTGTGTACTCGTGTTATGCATTATCTATAAGATATTTATGCTTTCTATTTGAAAAACAACATATTGAGAAAGACACTCCTTAAATAAACAATGCACTTTCAATGTATCAGTTCCAAATGTTCGATAATTATTTCAAATTTTTTTCTCCTTCGATGATTTCAAGAATATTACTTCTTTTTAGAAATAACGCGACAGAAGCATGTTAACTCCATAATAAAACAATATTTAGAATTTTCTCATAATTTAATATAAATACGCATGACGACGTTTCGAAGTCAATACTTATAGCTGTTTTCGCAGAACATACCAGGTATGTTCTATGACTAACTTGGAATGAGGATCATAGAATACACTGATATTCAACAAAAGGATCGTATACCTAGAGATGAACACAGAAAATCAATTTCTTAAGTCAGGTATTCCAACTGAATGTAGGAAAGATACAAATTCACAACTAAGATTTCTATATCTTTCCTATATTCCTATTATTATTTCCTAAACCATGATGAAGAAAGAGATAAAGAGAGAGAGAGAGAGAGAGAGAGTGAGACTGTGTGAAATTAAAGATGAGTACAATGAGAGACTTCGCTTTATCAGAGAATATAGAAAACATAGTCGGAGCAAGAGTGAAGTTCGTAGGAAATCGAGGGGGGCCAATCAAAGAATGCGAATTCTAAGACAGCCACTTTGGTCGGATTTTTTGTTCTCTTTTGGGTGCTTTCTTCGGCGAATAATCCAGTGAGCTGATGTAACACGACACTTTCTGTTTTAGAATTGTGAAACCTCACGTGAGAAATCCATTATCCGACATAGCGATCCATTAGCTAATCCGCTTTTAATACCGTAAAATATGAAACTGATATTTTTAATCAAATTATACTTTAGCGGATATTAGTTGTTAAGTTCGTTCGAATTCTCTACTAGGAGAATTAAGTAAGAGTACCCGTATTATAATACATATATATATATATATATATATATATATATATATATATATATATATATATATATATATATATATATATATATATATATATATATATATATATATATATATATATATATATATATATATATATATATATATATATATATATATATATATATATATATATATATATATATATATATATATATATATATATATATATATATATATATATATATATATATATATATATATATATATATATATATATATATATATATATATATATATATATATATATATATATATATATATATATATATATATATATATATATATATATATGTATATATACACCTAGGTCTCCACCTCCAAATGCAACTTCAATTCATAATTAATTACTCATGTAATCTAACAACTGCATCTGAAAGTGGAGACTTTGGTAGGTTAGTGGTAGAGCAGCGGAGTGAAAACCTGAAGACCTGGGTTCTAATCCCAGTCGAGTCCGAAAAACGTTCAAATGAAGCTTCATTTCTCTATTTTCAGTATAAAAAATGATTATAAATTCTTCATGTCCTCATGTGGTTTGTGACACGAAAATTTACTCTTATATATATATATATATATATATATATATATATATATATATATATATATATATATATATATATATATATATATATATATATTTATATATATATATATATATATATATATATATATAACTTGGTATCGGAATATATACCGCGTTCTAGATCCACGAACTGAATGAAGGAAAATGGAGTAAGGTTACCTGATTACGTGGCCTCAATCTGCCTACTCCACGAGCCAAATCGTTTCCAATAGTTAACTCCGCAGTCTCAACCTGCCTACTCTTCGGAGTCAACTGGCGTGTCGATCGTCTCGTGCCTGTATTCATAAATTTTTCAAATTGAATTTTTCAAATAAATAATTTTTCAAATGAATGTTCTAGTGTTCATCTCCCTAAATATTTCATTCAGTGCCATAAGCACAACAAATTTTCATTTCCTTAAAAATATCGCCGAATTGGCCCCTGAAATACGGGAATAAACGCGAGCGTACTACTAACGCAACCTATTAACATTTGAAAACATCGTATGATGATATTTGTCAAATAGACATTGCAATTTAGTAGATACCTACGGGTATAGAAGATATGTGAAATTTCGATGATTGGTGTGTCTGTAATCCGAGAGGAGTGTTTTCTACTGATTTCTATAGATGGAATTGTGGAGTATTCATTACTCTACGATCTTCCACTTAAAGTCAGAAGGAGATGCTTGAAAGTTGAAGTCGTGAGTGAAAGAGTGAGTGATACGTTTATTGATATCTTTATGACATTTTACAACAATTTAAATTTATATAAAGAAAAAAGAGGGAAGTTATAAGGTCTTTTGACCTTCTTCAACCCTAGGAACAGATATGTTGAAGTCGTTGCCTCACTTCGATGGACGTGATGCGACTGACGAAATCCTTGCACAACGAAACATATATGTCTTGCACTTCCATCAGGTGTGGCATCGATTTCAATATTTCTCTAACATTTATCCCTTGAAGGATAATGGAGACATCACATCGTACACGTTCACATATCTAGCTCTTCTATAACATTCTCTTAATTAATTTCAATTTTTCAAATGAATGTTCTAGTGTTCATATATATATATATATATATATATATATATATATATATATATATATATATATATATATATATATATATATATATATATATATATATATATATATATATATATATATATATATATATATATATATATATATATATATATATATATACATCCCACCATCATTACGAAGACCATACATTTGCGTTTTACCATCATTATGAAGACCATGGAATTACGACGACCATATACGGTCGTCGTAATTACATGCACTCTAAAACGATTGTTTATGTTATGAAACGTCGTCTAAAGTTGAAAACTCAATTTTTGTTGTGGTCGTCATATTGTTGATCTGATGTATTTTTCGTATATTTTTAGTTCACAGTAAATACGTGGCTGGCCGGGTGGCGTTTTGAGAAGCCGTATAGTTTGCTGTATAGTTCCTTTCAGTTCACCGACTTTATGACGACCGTTTTATTCGATATTAGACGCGGCATTTGGCAACATGTTAAATTCCAGGAAGATGTGAACTGTATCGGCTGGATGTTTTATTAGCATCTAACTTCAACAATATCTGTTCGTTGCGTGAAACAAAGAGGCAGTATTTCATCATTTTTTCAAATTCATTATTTTGGATCTCTTGGTCTCACAGATATAATTATCGAAGTTTTCTTTATATTCGAATTTATCGAATATATTTTTAGTGATGTTTTATGAATTTGATGTTTCATTTTGATTCATCTCGGTCTCAGGAGACAAAATAGTCTATTTCGGCTCCTTTTGATCTCAGGAATACATACATTCATTCTATTTATTCTCTGTAAAAATATATTTATTACTTAGCATTCCATATATTTTTAGTGATTTCTTTATAAAGCTTGTTCTATTACTTAGGTTCTCTCAGATAATAAATACATTCTTCAATTAATTTTTTATATTTATACGGATTATGCACAAATCGAGATACTTTTTTTGATAATGTTGTTTCCTTTTTAAAATTTCGTTACATTTTTACGATTTCACCCATACAATAGATAAGCGAAAAAGTTCTCACAAATACAATCAGCTACACGTTTTCTTCAGGAATTATTGCTTATCCAAATATAAGTTTTCATGCAGCATATTACACTTATCGTGAATGCCATTTCTCATGATGAACTTTTCAATTAATTTCGAAGTGAGTACCTACTGGTAGACTTGAGGTAGCAAAATTGTCCTTATTATAGCATATTATGAATGATTGCAGACAATTGTTTTATCCTTGATGGGTTGCGTACCTACGTCTTTTCGACAATACGCGCTCTTAGAATTACCCTAAACATTTTACACAAATATTTTTTCTGTTTCTGAGATTGATTTATCTTTCATGGTATCGAAATGTGATTGTGAATATCGCAGAAAAGTTCATTAGTATAAGCGAAATTAAGACGAAATTTATAACCCAAATCAAATCATAATTGTGGAAAATAATTTCTTTATGGTTTTTCGGCAGGTACTCCGAAACAAGTGAGTTGTTTCCGAGACCTATGAATAAAAATGTTGCATAGGATACAAACAGAAATGTTTCGGTGGTGAAAATTCATATCACAATAATTATGAAATAATATAATCTAATATTAGGGACAAATTGTTCCAACAAATTGAAAAACATTATTTTTCGGGTTAATTATTTCTGCTGATTTTCATAATAAAAAACTTCTTTGAAATGAGAATGAGGAGGGTATATGAAATTGCCCCAATTAAGTCTTAATAAATTTAAGCACTGAAGGTACTCGAGTTTCATTGGAACATTAACCAAAACTGTAACGAATTTTTTTAATCACTAAAATTTATTTCCACCATTCTGGTTGGCGTTTTTCTTGTCAGAGTCGATGAAACTTTCACTATTTTTTCAGAAATCAATTTTATTCAAACCATTATCGGTAGAATTCTCAATAGAATTTCGATGGAAAATTTCTTTCTCTCTAATTTTTACAGAAGATATCAAACACATTGGTCACTACCTATCAATAAATTATCGACTCGGCTATTTCAAGTTCATCTTCATTATAAAAAGTTTTAGCCAAAACCAGACGTATGCCGAGTTGTATGCAACATGATTTGTATGCCCAAGATAACGGGTTCAATTCCCGGAGAAGTCCTTGAGAATATGGCGCGATATTTCTCGTAAGGCAAACCTCCAAAAACGTTCCTTCCAATGAATATCCTCGAAAGTTAAAAGAACATCCAAGTGACTATGCCACAGTCATTTGAAAGAGTGATGTAAACATTCTGCAAAATTAATGTGATAAAGGAATATAAACTAGAATTCTGAACGAGCAAAAGTAGCTGACGGAAATCTTCAGAAGGTGGTGGACAAGAAAAGCAATAATTAGAGTATCAGCAAGATAAGTAAAATCAGACAACCTTTTTACTAAGAACACAAAATCGATGTCACGATTCTCTCGGAAACAAATGGAGATGACAAAAAACTACAAACTAAGAAACTACACATTCTACATATCGAAAAGTACTCAAGGAAGAAGAAGACAAATCGTGATCGAAGTTCAGAGTAGAACGGAACTGAAAATGCTGAAATTACAACAAAAACTCAATACGAAATATAAGGAATTGAAAAAAACAGATTAAATTGCTTGCATTCACATGTATACACGTATAATAAAAACGAAACAATTTTGGGGAACTTTTACGAAGAAAGGTCCTCAAGAAAGCAGCAGGGCACGTTGCTGGAAGAACACGGACTGAAACTGCTGAACAACAAACTACATTACGATGAATCTAGCAAAAATTAAAGAAAAAACGATAAAGCCTCCGCAGCACAAACTCAAGACTCACCGATATACTAGATATAGCCCTGATGAAGAATATGAAGAGAAATTACGAAATAAAAGCAACATAAGATAAAAAACCTGACCAAACTCAAGTGTCAAAATAAATAAAAACAGCAACGAACGTGCTGAAAATAATTAATAAATGCACTGCATTAAAACGCAGTCATTGTCAGGATTTGCAAGGAATTAATTGAAACACGGGAAACGCCAATACGAAATAGGTTGTCAGAAGCAATTCTATACTGAAAAACAGTATAGAATGTCCGAAGAAAACTCAAAAAATCAACTCCACAGCAGAAAGAAAAAAAAAGCTGATGTACTAGAAGGAATGCAAGAAAACAATCCTGAAGACGAGAAGAAACCAAATAATAAACGACGTGAAGGAAGGGACACCAAAATAAAAGGAAAGGAAGTACTTATGTACAACGGATAAAGAGTCTTTGCTAGAGCAGATGGACAAAGCACTTGCAGGAAGATCGAAGGATAGGAATGTACCAGTAATAAGATTCTATAAGACACTTATAATGTCTTTTTCGCCAGAAAGAAACAAAAAGGCAGAGATGTTAGAAGAAAAATTCAAATCCAAAATTAGAAATGCAAAATTTGAATTCAATACAACTTCTTGTTCACCTGTACCTTTTTCTTGTGAAATTTTTCAATAGTCTCCGAAAATTACGAGAAGAGTGTCATTCGATTCGTATTGTTACCTAGAACGTTTAAAGAAAGGTCCGAGAATGCGCTGAAAAAATTTTAAATTGTTATAAACAATAAAGTGAGAAAAAACGTAGGTGTTCGATTTTTCTCAATATCTTAGGAAATATTCAAAATTTTCAAAATTGCAAGAAAGTTTCAAAAAGATGAAGAATTTCTAAAAAAAAGCTGCAGATTCTGAAACTGTAACTCCAATATTTATAATTACAGAGCCACGAAAATAGAGCCAAAAGCGGAAACTCTGGCTCCGCGCACGTTGCGTCACTCCGACACGAATAAAATTAACGAATAAAATTATTTAAATATATTAAATAAT